TTTATATTATAGATATTATATACATATATATATTATAATATATATATATACTATATATAATTATATTATATATATATTATATATATATATATAATAATATATATATATATTATATATATATATTATATATATATATATATATATATATATATATATATATATTATTATATATATTTATATATAATATATATATATATTATTATATATATATTATATTATATATATTAATATATATATTTATATATATATATTTATATATATATATATATATACATATTTATATATATATATATATATATAATATATATATTATATAATAATATATATATATATATAATATATAATATATATATTTGCTAGCTCAGCGGTAAGGTGCTGGTCTAGCAATCTTGCGGATCTGCGTTGAATCCACGCTCGGCCAGTGAGTGGTAACCCCGGCCACTTTTTGCACACAGGGGGAGATTTGGCAAAATAAAACAGACAGTATGTCACAGCAAAGAATATCCATTGTAACAAATGGAATTAAAAACTAAAAAAAACTAAAAAAAAAATATATATATATATATATATAGATATATATTATATATCTATTTGTATGTATGTATTTATGTATATATATACATATATATATATATATATATATATATATATATATATATATATGTATGTATGTATGTATGTATGTATGTATGTATGTATGTATGTATGTATATATATAGATAGATAGATATAGATATTTACCTAAATTTATTTATATGTATATTGTTTTCTCCATGTGTCTTTAGTGTCAATTAATTAAACACATTTTCTTCTGTAATTGATTAAGTTTGTGAGATTGAAGTTTTTTGTGTGTTTGCCTTTAGTGTTGATATTCAAATAACATTGCTATCAAGCTGTTGTCAGTTGTTAGTTTTGTGATGAGACTTTCACAGTAGATTTTATGAACCTTAAACAAATAATTGAAGACCCAGGGATCATATGGCAATTCCTTTGTGTATTTTCCCATCAGGCATAATCCAATGCAGGCAGTGTCTCACAAATAGCCTCTATATAGTAGCATTAGATATTGTTTTTGAGATTTGTAATATGAAATAGAAGCATTTTTTGTAGCATCCACGTGGAGTAAAAGGAAACTTCATGATTGGAAGAGTTAATTGGTGGAAAATTTTGGAGTATAATTTGGTTATAACCATTAGAAAGAAAAAAGAGCGCAGCTTTAACATTGAGTAGTCCAATTATTTTCACTTTTATTAAATGATGTGTATACTTTGAATGATATACAATATTTTTTTGTAATTCTTATTTTATTTTGATGGAATTTTATTGTAAGCATTATGCAGTTTTATCAGTAGTTTAATCTATGTTTTAAAAAATCCTTGATAAGAGAATTCATGCTAATTAATTGATTTTTGGTCAAAATATTGTGTTAACATCTTTACAGATAAAGAAAACAATGAACAGGGAGATAAAAAGTACAATCCATATTTGTCATAACTTTGTGTGTGTGTGTGTGTGTGTGCGTGTCTGTGTGTCTGTGTATGTGTGGCTGTGCAATTTCTGCTGACTTTTTTTCATGTATGTGTTTTTCCTATGTATATTCTCATGTGTGTGTATGTGCAAGTATTTTTAGTAGACAGGTGAGAGAGAGAGACGACTATTTTTAGAAATGTATTTTGAAAATCAAAAACTATCCAGTAATCCATTTATGAACTTTCCAGGGAAAAAGATATTTCAGCGCGGCCACCGCAAATCACCTTCAGATTTTGACCTTAAATATGGCAGGGACACAACTCCTCCAAGCTCACCGCTGAAAGAGAGTAGAATAAATGATGCTGCCACGTCACAGCCTCAGTTTCCTCTTGACCCTGAGTGCTGGGAGGTAAGCAGAGTGAAGGGCAACAAAGCATGGTTGTACAATGTTACCATTGTTTGATATTTTTACTAGTCCTGCCAGGGAAACCCCTAAGCAGTATATTAAGCTACTACGCAAATGTTAGCCAATAAGTAACATGCATGACCACATTTTTAGTGTATCACAAATAATATCAAACATTAGCAGTTATCACTGATAAAGCTTCAGAGATTGGGTCTTAGGGAGTGAAAACACTTGATAATGTACTTTCTGAGGCACAATTACTTGAAAGTTAGTGTGTAGGAAGTGGTAAAGAGGAATCACTGAAAGTGTGTGACTTTAATCTCTTCCTCTAAGGTCAGAGGGCATCCACTTGGAGGATGCCAAAGGACCTTCACATGTCATCATCTGCTCTTTTGGTTATTGTTAGTACTATTTGACCTGCTTAAGGCATATGGTAGTTACATTATTTTCAGGACTGTTTTTTTGTGTAGTTGTTGCAAAAATAATGGGCTATTCACAAAAAGTATGTAAATACATCATAAAATACATCACAGCTAGTTTGAAATCAATAAAATCTTGTACATGTTCAAAGTATAGTACAGTCTCACTTGTGTATGTTATATAATCAGATTATTGTATATGAGATGATAAGTGTCCCATCACTCTGACAACCAAAACTAATTTTCACTTGAGAGTTTGAATAGAAAACAAGCCTCTTTACACTTCTCACAAAAAAGATCACCAAATATTTATTCTCAAAACCTAATAGTCAGGCTTTTATATCACTAAATTTCAATACTGAAAATATTAACTCATCGCCGATGGGTAAAAATTTTGGTAAGTGGACGTATGCACGGGCTTATTGGCGTGCATCGGCAGTTTCCCCTGTTTGTGCCCGGCTCGATCGGTAGTTTGCGAGTGACATTTAGCACCTAAAAGCTTTTATTTTGCTAAAATTTATAAAAATAATAGAATTTGGAAGGTTTACCTTCATTATAGGTGCCATTGCCTAAAATCTTTACCATATAAATGAAGCAGCTACTATCGGAGAAAAACAACCTCTGTCCAACGAGCCAGTGGCGCGGGAATGGGCATGACATGATGCCCCCCAGCGTTCGGTCCACAACAGCCATGGCATGTACGTACGTGCTACCTGGCGGCAACGGGTTAAATATTGTACTTGATAGCAGAAAAGATTGAAAAACTGGTTACACTTCATTTTGCCCACAGTCATGGAACTTTTCACTAAATAAATCATTTTTGTTTCTTCTCAAGTAGTTACAGGAGATGGGATACATTCCAAAATCTCTCTCTTGATGAAAAGTCAATAGAGATGTAGCTCAGTGGTAAAGGTAAAAATTTAGGAATGGTCAGGTGAGGATCACCTGGTCAAGTGTAAGGCTTTTGATAGAATATGTCCTCATTCCAGCATTCAAGACATAATCTCATTACAAGATGAGCATCACCTGTTGTGTGTGTGTGAATTTTCCATGTGACATGCCACCAGTAAGCTATTTACCTCCATCTTGTAATCTGTATCAAGTTCCACATCTATCCTCTCTGGTCTCTTCACCACATGCTGCCTGTATGTCTGCCAATCCATAAACTAGAGGATGGTGTATCATTATGTAGGTTTTATTAAAAAGGAGGCATATGCAGAAAATAATGGGCAGGCTGTGTGAATAATGAAGGGTTTCTCTTGGTGAAGGATGGGAGAAAGGTATGGGAGTGAAGGTAGGTGGGACAGTATTTGTAATGGTATAGAAGTCTGCACGATGATTATTAATTGAATTCCAGAGTAAACTGATGCACCCCGATATTAACCCATTGGATCTAGTTGTGTCATGGATATTATGGTGCCAAAATTATGGGCAGTGCGTTGCGTAAGAAGCCAACATCCCGGGCATGTGGCACATAGGCCAGGCACGACAAAATTCTGAGCCTCCCCTGTGCAAAGTTATTTTGTGTAATAAAAAAAACAAAACTTTTCTGACATTTTCCAATATCCATAATTGTCTTTTGATTTGCAATAGCTTATTTTCCTTGCACAGACTCTATATCATCTCTCAATGTAGCAAATAACTGAGCAAGAAAATATATGGAAGATTTGGTTATTTGTGTCATATATCTTGTTTTATAGCAATTTTCAATATACCGTAATACAACCTATGCCACTGGTCGCAGCAGCCAGGAATACGGTGCGCAGCATGGAAGTGGCATCTTCTCTGGAGCTGGTGCTCTTCCAGTCACAGGTTACACATGTTACATTCCACATTTGTTTATTGATGAGAATAATGCTAAAGCCCCATTTGAAGCACCAAATTAGTCAAAACACATTCCAAGAGGTTTGTGCACTCATGGCAAGTCTTTTCTGTCACCCTGGCCTTCACCCATGATGGCAAGTTTGCGTCACCCAGCCCTCAACCTAGATTTTTCCATGATGAGGAACTATAACGTCTTCTGGATCGTAGGGTTTTCGCAAAGGGGAGGGGATTTTTGTCCAAATGATAAATTGGAAGATGTGTGACAGCATTCTCTTCTTGTGTTTGCAGAGTATATTGGAAGTTTGTGACATCTGAGGTCAAAGACAAAATGTGATAAAATAATCATGATTGAGTTCATACTTATGAAGGTATGCATGTACGTATATTTATTAATCTACCTCTTCTTTCCATTTCAAGGTTGACCCAGTTGTACACAAGGAGTTCATCATGTGGAAACAAAACCCTGTTCTAGATCAGTCGGATCCTTTCATGCAGCGTATTTATGCGGAAGATATAGATCTGTGCATGGCATTTCCCAATTCCACATTAGCCCACCGAGTTCAGAGAGCCATTGAGGATAACGATGTCTTTATCGAAGAGGTGAATCCAAGGCAGAAAAGCAGTTGCCCCAAGTAAGAGAGATGTTTTTTTGTTGCGAGATGTGTAAGAACTATGACAGGTTGGGTTAGTTATTGGGTAATGGATATTGGAAAGAGTGATCTTACTTTTTTCAATAAATGGATTACCATTTTCATTTTTTCAAGATTTATTTCAGTTCACATCAGATGAGCTAGTTAACCCAATCACGCCAGGTGTCCCATATCTGAGACACCCGAAAAAAATAAACACTCCGTGCGTCCCGCCAGTGTGACGCTGTGTCGGGGTTGCGCTTCGACTCAGCAGTGGGCTGCGGCCGGCGGGCGGAAAGACTCTGGGGAAGCTCCACCCGCCGATTTTTGAGCCGCCTGGATTTTTTTATTTTGGCTACGAAATGTACCCGGCGTGAGTGGGTTAAGTAGATGTGGAAATCTCAAGATATTTATTTTGATCTTTTTTTTTTGGGGGGGGAATTGTTAAATCTCATGAAATTTGAAGATGAAAGACAGGTTACTTATCTGTTGATAAGTATACTTTTTGCACGTAGCCTTTCCGTAATGGTTTATATATATATGTTTAGACAGAATACATAGTAAATTTTCATTTTCCGTACCATATTTTCCGTACCATATTTTCCGTACCACAAATGATAGAAAAAATTTATTGATGAATGACACAATTTGGTTACAAAATACTTTCGTATGTATCAATAAGGTAAGTATTGAGAAAATTGGACATTTTATTCAAATAGAAATCTAGTTATGAAAATAATTGAGCTCTCTAAGTCCAGATTAACTTTTTTCATCAAATTGTATTGAGTGGTTTGGATATGTATGCTTTGGATACATATGTAGTAGATGTAATATTCTTGTTCATAGACTTCACAGAGAGAACTTCGGTAAATGTGAAAAGACTTTTTTCTTACCCGTCCACACTGTCTGCTTCCCAGGTGTATATCAGTGTAAATAATGCTAGCTTTTCCTACGGCACCTAACATCTACGTGTGTGTTCTTGTGTGCCCCTTATAATGTGTCATCCTTTGCCATTGTCCTTCAGTCATTTTCATCCATGTCTTTGTTTTGATTATCCAAAGAAGCAGAAGTCTAGTCATTCACAGGGTGATGATATCCATATGGTTGTAACCCCCTTTCACCGGTGACTCACTGTTGTCTTCTTTTTTTTCTTTCTTTTTTTTTCTTTGCCATTAAGAGGAGATGAATGTAAATTAGTAATGAGAAAGTATAGTATGTCATAGCTAACATTTTGGCATTACAAGAAACGGGTTATGTATTTATAGGAATAAGTATTTAATACAAACCAGAATATTTTTTCCATTATCCAAATGGAGAGGTTTCATGTGTATATATATTTTCATGTGTATATAATTGTGTTAACTTATGGTTTATGATTTATAATTACTTCATTGCAGTTGGAAAAGAAAAGCCTTTAATGTTTCATAGTTACAGTAGTGAAGATCAGAAAGAGATAATAGGAAAAATTATACTAAGAAAATGAGAAACAATAGATAGAGAAGAGACAAAGACAGAACAAGTAGCAGAGAAATAGAGGAGTTGAAAAAAGGTTATCCTAAGATTGCATAGCTTTTAACCGACTTCTCTTTCAATGTATTTCAGTCTAGGTAGACCCTTTAATTTACTTCAAGATCCCACATTGAACAGTATTTTGAGATCCTTTCTATGGTCTCTTTCAGAGTTGACCCAGATGACACCAGGTTATTATTGAAATTTCTCTTGGTTTATGGCTTCCTCTTAAAAGTGCATTCCTTTCTCCCCGCCCCCTTAATATGACCTGTTACGACCTTGTTGATATGAGTGTTGTATAGATAGTTGAATGACTTTGTGAAATCCTAGTTTTTTAGGTGTGAGATGAGCTAGTGTACTTACTGAAGCATTCTCATCAGACTGTTTTATATATAACCATTTGGTCTCGCATATTTGTATCATCCCACCCTTATTTATTTATTTATTTTTTCTTTCATCATTGTTCAGTTTTTCTAATGTAATTTCTTTATTTCTGTCATTTCTATATTTTATTTCCAATCCTCCCCCCCCCATAAATTTGTAGCCATGTGACTTTCTATAATTGGTTATTTGTCTTATATACTTGTGCATGTATTTGCATTTTTTAAAGATATGTGCTTCATTGTATAATACTGATACATGGTTGGAGGTTGACCTTTTTAACTACCTGAATTTCGGTTCATGCTTGTGTATGACTCTTAGTGACATATATGTTGGTTATAAGCTTGCTAGTGTGTTTTATTTTACATACAATTAGAATAGCCAGTAATGGAGAAATAGTTGCGTTAATGTAAAGGTAGAGGCAAACTGGAGATATGTCATAATGTGTGACCTCTTGTGCATAACTATAACATGAAAATCTCTAAATTATATATTTTATTGCTCATTAGTTCATTACAAGAAATATGCCACATTGACTATCTTCATAAAAAACTCTGTTCTAATTACAGGAAGTGTGTTCTGCTGGATGTTCCACGCTTCTGCAAGTATCGATTCAGGCTTGGGGAATCAGATGATACCTGGTATTACATTTCACAGTTGGCAAGGAATAGGGTAAGTATCCATTTGTCCTCTCTCATCATAGTAAGGTGCTGGGCTTGCAATCTTGCTGACCTGCGTTCGATCCTGCGCACTACCAGTGAATGCTAACCCCGGCCATTCGTTGCACACGGGGAGATTTAGAAACAAAATAAAACAGATAGTATATCACAGCAAAGAATATCCATTGTAATAAATGGAATTGAAACTAAATCTTAATCTTTATAAAAAAATCTAAACTTTTGTAAGCTTATTTGGACTTAGTTTCATTTGTTGAGGAGACATAGCCCCTCAAAAGTAAACTTCATGCCTTTTTTTTAGTCTCCATACCCCAAAAAAAATTTATACCACAGCCAAGACCATAGAGAGTGGGGTAGTTTCATGCTTCTGATTATTCCCTCATGCAGCTAACTCAGAAAGCAAGCAAATGTTTTTTTCAGTATGACACTCGACATCAGATTAAACATTTTGACTTTTTTCATTTCTTTGCAAATTTGGCAGAATCTTTGAACGTGTTTTTCATATGACACATTTTTAGAGCTTCAATTTGATACATCTAATAAGAGATTCCTATTTGTACAGTAATTCTTGATTTGTAATCAGTTTACTTTTTTTTATTCATAAATAATGAACATGTTTCCACTTTTTGTTGTATCCATGTTTCACTTTTTGCCCTTCTTTTTCAATCTTTTACTATCACAGAGCCCTTGTCTCTTTGTTTAATTTCTTCCCTCCTTTTTTCCATTTACTATCCTTTTCTTTTTTCCATTTGCTTTCCCTTGTCTCCCTGCTTCATCTTGTAATTTCATTGTCTCCTTGTTTTAATAATTCACTTTTCTTATCTAATTGGTTCATCATTTTCCTTTTTTATTTTTCTTGTCTTGTTTAATCTTTTACTTTCTTTGTCTGTGTGTGTCCTTTTACTCCACTTATTTATGAACTTTGCTTCCTTATTTTACCTTGTGTTTTCATTGTGTCCTTGTTTAAGCTTTACTTTCTTTGTCTCCTTTTCTTTTATCCATCTTTGGTTATCCCTTTCTCTTTGTGTTTCATCTTTTACTTTTTTTCTCCATTTTTAATCTTTATATTTCCTCTCATCCTTGTTTAATAATTTCTATGTCTCACTGTTTAATCTTTCACTTCTTATTTTTCTTTATAGAATTTTCTACTTTCTTTACTTTTATTTCTATCTTGTTTATTCCCAATTTCTCCTTGTATTGAAATTCACTTCAGCACTAAATATTTCTTCATCTTTAACCAGTTTCACAGTTTATAAGCAACAAGAATACTTCCCTTTTCCTGTTTTTGTATTTTGGCATAATCTTTTTCTTTTCTTTATTGTACTTTTTTTCCAATAGGAATGGGTCATTTTTTTTTTATGATTTCTTTTTCTTCAACATCATCTGTTAAAAATCTGTGGTTGATGTTGAGTGTTAAGCTTTTTATAATGTAAGATTAAAAGGGTCTTCCTTTCCCTTTTCAGATTATTGCCATCTGTGACTTCCTCAACTACTTGCGCTACATTAAGCTTGGTCTAGTCAAGAGTTCAAGTGAGTGAGGAAGTGTTTTAATGTGTGTGTGTTTGTGTTTGTATGTGCATACACATATGTATTTGCGTGTGTGTATGCCTGTATGTGCGTACACGTATGTATTTGTGTGTGTGTGTGACAGCGTGTGTGCCTGTGTGTGCTTGTGTATGCCTGGCTGATCATGTTGGAATGTGTTTGTGAAAATGGGCACAAGAATTTTTTTCTGGAAAGCCCTTTGTCACTGTCTTCAGTCTGGTTAAGAATAGATGTTGAAAGATCTGAAACTTTCTCTAAACAGTTCTTATGTAGTTACTGCTTTAGTAAGACAGTAATATAGATATTTGACAAAGTATGAATAATTGACATAATTTCAAGACAAAAACTAAAGGCTGTCGAAAGAAACCTTGCACATCAGTGGGCAGTCTTGATATAGTTGTGGCTCAAGATAAACTGTGACCGAAGCATACAGTAAAGTCTCAGATAAATTTTTCTGCCATAAATATGCATTATTCCATATTAGGCATCACACTTTTGTTGAATGGTGTATATTTGCTTTTTTTTTTTTTTTTTTACTCCATGGACTTCCACCTGTTATTGTTTGTTAGCTTTTTAGAAAATTGGCTTATTTTTTATATTGTATGATGTCTATTCTCATAATGTTTAGTAAAGTTTGTTTATGTGAAAATGTTGATTAAATAGATCTAATAGAGATCTCAGTGAATGTACCTTGGGTAATATATTACACAGCTTCAGTGATGGCAGGATTGTAATATTAATCTGTAAAACATCTTTCTTTTCAGTTCATGACATGTACTGGGAGATTGTAAAGCTTCGGCGGCAGATGGCTCTGGCTCGACTTGGATTTTAGTTTATTTATCAACTGGTACAGCCACATTACATTACAACAGAAGACTATATAGGAAGAGACTCAATGAAGATAGATCTTAAAGAATTTTTGTACTGATGATTATTGTTATTGGTATATTACTATTATTATCATTTTATTATTATTTTTATTATTATTATTATCACTTATTATTTTTATTATCATTACCGTCATTACTACAACTACTATTGTTATTTCATTATGATTAGTATTATAATTTTCTTCTATTATCATTATCATTACTTTAATTTTATTATTATTATTATTATTATTATTATTATTATTAATATTAATATTAATACTCTTATAATTGTTATTATTATTATTATTTTTATAATTATTATAATTATTATTATTGTTATTATTGCTATTATTACTGTTATTATTACTTTTACTTTTTTTGTTATTATTATCAAGTATAACTTTTTTTTATTACTTATTTTTTTACTTTGATTTATGATATGATTATGGCATCAGAATCTAATGTTGTGATTAGAAATGTATGCCATGTAAATGAATATACTCTTTTAAATGATAAAGGTAATCAAGAATGATGAAATGTAATTTGTACAACTAACCTGTCTCAATTACATACATGACAATTTTCGTAAGATAATAATTTAGATGTAAAAAGAAATATATATAGAGAGATTATATATATATCTAAAGGGAAGAGGGAGGGGAAATATATATACATATAAAAATATCACAAACCTTTTAAAATAGTGGTCTGAATTGTGGTCAGGGAACTTTTTGATTGAATTCTTTAATAGATGGTTCAAGAAAAATCTTCATTATAATGGTAAAAAGGTGTTAAGTCTTAAGAGAAAAGCTGATGTGAAGCTTTTTCATTTGGAATGAATTCAAGTTGTTAGTATTTTTCTTAGACTGAAATATTTTAATAGTTTAGTTTCTGATAATAGAATTTTAAAATATTATATAAAAACAATGAAAAAAAATTGTTTTCACATTTAGAAGATTCAGTTCAAATTTCTGTAAATGTTTTGTTATACTGAGTTGTATATCGTAAGAGATTTATTGATTTGTTATGCAATTAAGGTCGCCATTTATTGAAAGATCCACTATTGCCTAGATGTTTCAGAATGATGATACACTATGGAGGTTTATGCAGCTAGGCAATTATGGATGGTTAATATCACATTCCTTATTTTAATTTTTTATTTTTCATCATGCTCATCACATTATTGTCTTGGCAGTTGAATTTTTATGTGCTTTTATTTTCTTATTGTTTTTGTAATTTTTCTTTTTCTCTTTTTTCCCTCCTCCCCTTTATTATTCTATTTACTGTTTGGAAGTTCAATGTATTCATTGGTTTTCCACCATAGAATATGAGATCCTCATTGTCTCTGCATCTTGGCAGATTAGAACCAACTTTTGATGATGTATTTTCCTCTTTCCAAAGAAACGGAAGAATCTCGTCTGAACATCTTAGGGTGATAATTCACAAGGGAAGTTGATATATAGATTCGTAAGAGATTTTATTTGTTTTATACCTTTAAAAGGGAGGCCTGTGATATTCTGAATCAGCCATGTGCAGATGTATTTTTCATGTGTAATTCATGTATCGGATTGTGGTGCAATTTGATACATTAATCATTCTGTATCATATGTTATTCTAATAGCTTGTGTACATATATTACTAACAGCTACTGTATAAGATGTGTTGTAAGGCTATATATGTTTTACTTGATGTCACAAATTAGTTATGAATTTCACTCTAAAGGGAAGCATAGTCAGTATAGGGAAGGATATTGAGGAAGATTGATAAGTTATTATATAATGCTCATGAGATTATACTAGGCCAATGCATAAGGTAGAGATTGACATATAATGAAATTACCTTTGTACCTTGGATGGTCAAAATTGATTATATATTCACAGGTAATCATATATTAAACTGACTGAAATGGCATTGATATTTTGTATATGATTTTCTTGTCATGATTTTCCCATATCCCTCTGCCCAAGAGAACCAGTGTTTCACAAGAGCTTACAGGTCTGGAGACATAATTATTGCAATCTTCATGTGAGTAATGTGTCTAAGGAAAATGGAATAAGGAAACTTTTAATGAAACTTTGAACACCTGCTGCTAGTGGTCATTTACTTGTAAAAAATAATTGTTAGTGCATTAACCGTGTGATTATTTTATTTCTCATTTTTTATATGGAAGCAAAGGTATATATGTGATGATGTATACCTGAGTGCTAAGAAAGTATTTATTATAAATATATTTCTCACTTGTAATATTCACAAATTACTGTTCTATGAAATTTATGAAGAAAGATCCATGAAAACTAGATACACACCTTGACGTTGGTGCCATGATTGGTTCTCTTGAGCGGAAGGGTAGAGTAACAGCTGCTGTAGCAGCCTCCTTGAGCATGGGTTGTGAACATGCAGGTTTGAGGCCATCATCATGTGCCAGTATCAAAGGTTGGAAGTGTAAGTGATGTGCACTTTATTTTCAAAGTATTGTGTATGCAGATAAAAGCATGATGAATTTACCAAATTTAATAATATAGGAAATATATCCCTGATGTGATTTATATACAAAGATTGGTGTTAGGAATCATTAGTATTATGACAAATAAAATTTTGTAAACAAAGAAAGAGAAATTGTAATTGAAAGTTGCAAACTTTATTAAAATATAAAATACCATGTCAAGTACTGATTTTATCCTAATTTTTGTATTGATAGTAATTCACTCAACGGCAAATCACATAGGAGAGTTTTTATTTTACTTGTTCTTGTGTTCCTCCCACAGATTCCCTTGCAAACATATAAGAAAAGAGAAGTGATGATAAAAAAAAGTTTGAAAAATCTGTGCTATACAGGGCAGACCCCCCCTCCATCCCTTGCTCGTTGTTGTGGGGCGGCTTGAAAGACGGAGACTAGGGTCCAGTGTAGGGGATCAGATCACCCCTACCTTGGACCTTAGCCCTCGCCACAACTAATTTTGCAATGCCTTTTCTTCTCCGTTTTCCCTTTTCCTTCTCTTCATCCTCATCTTCCGTCCACATCGTAAGGTCTTCGCTGCCCAGAATGCAACTGGCTCAAAAGTAAATATTCACTCTTTTATCATAGGGCGTCTTCTGTAGTGTCCTTAACTCTTAATACCGTATTTAGTTTAATCCTAATCCACCGTGTCCGTACCGAAGACGACACTCTCCGCTACCAGACAAAGTGACAGTAATGTTCAGTAAAAACTGTCACTCACTATTCTATCACCACCGTTATCATGTAAACATGTCGGAGAGAAGAGAAATGTCGCGCGTGAAATTCGCTCTTTTGGGAGATTTCATGTTTTTTTCTTTCTTTCTTTTTCTAATGTCATGTTTTTGGTAATCATATTTAAGAAACTATTTTAGACATCTCTTAGGTTTCAAAATATCTATTATATTTAATGTGTATTTCATGAAACTGAGACTCTTACTAATGTTTTCATAATGCTAATTATCTTATGCCTTTTTATCTCTGCACTGCTTTGCCTCCTAATTGTTTAAAGTGTTCTGTAAATAATAATATAAACTTCTCAGATGCTTCTGAAGACCACCTTTTCCTTCCCTTCATCCCAGACGTACCTACATGATTGAAGACAAGGCATTAAAAACTTATTCATATTATTAATTTTTTATGCCTCCCAATGTTCCCAAAATTGAAAACTAAGACTAGCATCATATCAAAGTAAGAAAGTTCGTACCTCTATTTTCTGTACACATTTCTGTACATTTCTTCAAGATTATCTGTTTCAAATATGATTTGTTTGGAATCTTAAGTTAATGGACTGTCTCTTTAAATTTCTATCAATTCTTGTGATGTTCCTGGTCTGTGATATAGTGATGGTTCTGCCCTCTGCTGTTGATGTGAAGATCCTGGTCTCGTATTTCTGGGCGTGTGGGAATAGGTTTTACAAATCTAAAGGGTGGGAGCTGAGGTATGTTGTCTTTTTATTGCTGAAAATCTGTGGTATTTTGAAACATTTCTGTGCAATGTTGCTCTTCACACATAACTGTTGCATGTTGTGTAGGGTAGCGTTTGGAGCAAGTCATGCACTCATACCTGTAAATAAGCAACAAAATCATCCAAAAGATATCTATTCAACATTCACCCTTCATGTCCCTACGCATATGATATAGAAGACAGTATTAAAGATATTACCTAAAGATTTGCAGTCCGATATAAAATTTACTTGGATAAATAAACCTTGCAATTTGCATTCAGACACTGCATTGTTAAAAGATTTTTCTGACAACTGATATTCATTTTTATAGATTGGAGAAAAGGTGATTGTTATAGAAAGTTGTAGTCAGTCACTCAAGATGCAGTTTGATCTTCATATGATAATTACGAGGCACAAGTAGGCTTACTTATAAGGGAAACATGATTATTTATGAAATATATTTTTTCATGATAACGATCTTATATTTATAGTAGTAAAATGGGTAACGAAACTGCTCTAACAACTATAAAACCAATCTTTATTTCAATGACACTCAAGTACAAAAATGACATTCACCAATTAATATCCATCGCGCAGTTTCCTCGGACAGCTCTTTGCTGCGTTGAATCGTGTTGGAGGGAAACATGTTTTCTTCAGGATGCTGTTCAGGAGGTCCATAGAAAAGTATACTTGTTAATTTTATAGTAAAGTAGTTGAGAAAAACTCAGCACATAATTCTTCTTTAAAACACTGGTTCATATTTGATTTAAAACGTCAACTTGTGTGACCTGACCATATAATTTTTGTTTCACTAACCTGGAAATATGAGTTCCATGCCCGCAGCCTCTGAACTTCAAAGATTCCTCGTGGGATTATATTGTTTTTTATATTCATTATCAGAATATTTGATAATTTGTGTAAATATATACAATTTCATTTTCATAAGTACTAAGTATGAAAATTCTAAGACGATTGATGTCATTGAAAGACAACTCAAGCGGTCGCAACCGTGAAGTTCATGACGGACACGTGACGTAACAGTACATGATTGGTGGGATTAACTTGTCCCTTCTGCGCATGTGCAGGATTAAAAAATGAGCTTAATATTAAAGCCATGTTCAAAGGTGCATTAAAAGTTGATCCCGGGCGCTACCAACACGCATGCGCACTAGAGATATGGATTAAAATTTAATACTGGATTAACTTTTATGGCACGTACAGAAGA